GGCCGCCCCGCTGCTGCTGCGCTCGCTCGGGCTGCTGCTGCTGCTACTGCGGGGCTCGCAGCTGCCTTCGCCTTCGCCTTCTCCCGGCTCCGCAAAGACCACAGCGTCTCAGGCCGCGCCGCTCCCGGCGCCCCGCTCCCGGCCCGAGCCCGGCTTTGACTTACGCACTGCGCAGTCGCCGAGGGCGCGACGTCGGGCGGCGCCGCAACGCCCCCTCCGGCCTCGAGCGCCCCCGGGCGGCCGGGCGGACTCAGGACGCTGGAATCGCGCGAGACAGAACGTAGTGGGCTCCCCGCGAAAAACGGGAGCCGGGGTCACTTCCTCTTCCTCCATCTGCGGCTCACCGGCGCTCAGCTGCTTAGGCTGGCGGCTACACAGTCTTCCTGGAGCTACATACGCCCACTGTCAACGACCACTTCCTCAGCTCCTCATAAAGCTTATTTTTGCGAGAGGCCTGGAGCTGACTTTGTGCGGCCGAGTCTTTCATACTTGAGAGGCGCGCATAGCCTCATTTTGGCATCTCTTGAAGCAAAGCAAGTGTGAGGATGTTCCAGAGCAAGAGGGTTCAGCCTGGAGTTAAATCCCAGCGCCACTACTCAGGGCCCTGCGCCTGGGTTTTCTCACACATTAAAACAATATGAAATAAAACATGAGCTGGACCTGGTGGTGCATTCCTGTATCTCAGCATGCTGGGTGCCTGGGGCAAGAGGATCGCAATTCAAGTCCAGCCTAGACAATTTAGTAATTTAGAGAGACCCTTCCTTTTAAAAAAAGAAAAGAAAAAAGGAAGGGCTGAGGATAAACCTTAGAATGAAGGTCTTGGGTTCAATCCCAGTCACCCACCGCCCCAAAAGTGTTAAAATACAGTAGCACCTGCCACAGGAAGATGAACAAGATGATGTATTCCAAAGGCCTGACAAGAATCGGGTGCATAAAAATGGCGTATATGCGTTTCTTCGTTTTAAACTTACAGTTTAGCAGGATTCCTGAGTATGTCATGTGTCGTGAGGCAGTGAGCAGCGGTGTGCAGATCAGACTCAGTGTGGGAGGATTTCAGCAAGGACACGAGTTAGAGGCTATGAAATAATGCAGTTGGCTGGGGTGTAGCTCAGGGGTAGCATGCTGCCCTCACACGCATGAGGCCCTGGGTACAGTCTCCGCGCTGCAGAAGAGACAGGAGAGAAATAACCCAGGCAAAAGAAGGCAGGCAGGGGTCCAGGGTAGTAGCAGTGGAAGAGTGAAGTGGTGGATATCAGGCACACCGAAAAGGTAGAGTTGCCAAAATTTTGCTGATTTCTTTTTTTTCCACAAGAAACTTTAAGATATAATTTGGTGCTGTGGGGAGGACTTGAACAGGATCCCGACGTGAAAGGAGGAACTTGGGGTTATTTTGGGGCATGGTAAGATTGAGCTGCCCACTGGACACCCAGAGAGGAGGAAGTCGGACAGAGCAGTCTGGAGTTAGGGTAGAAGTCCCGGCTGGGGAGTCCTCAGAGTGGGTAAAACGTCAGGACTCAATGAGATCACTGAGGACACACCCAAGTACCCCAATGTCAAGAGGTCCGGAAATTAAAAGGAACAGCAAAGGGTCCTGGGAAGAAGGAGTCAAGAGAAACATCTGTTGGAGGACCAAGAACAGCTTTCAGGAAGAGGATAGGCCAGTCCTGAAAAAGGCAGCCAGTAACTAGCTCAGTAAGGTTGCTACTGTTGCCCATCGGCATTGGTGTCAGTGTCACAGAGGTAACTCGAATTTGCTAAGAGCTGTTTCAGTGGAGAGGTGAGTGGGAAACCTGACTGGAGTGGGCTGTAGAAAGAATCAGACCGAGAAAGACTTCTAGAAGGAGCGGGGCTCCAGGGAAACCACAGAGCATGTTCTGTGCTGAGGGAATGATTCACTAGCGGGAAGGTTTGGGAAAGGGGGGTATTTTCTGGAGTAGTGTCCGCTCAGATATGGGAACCAGACAGACAAATGCCAGCAATGCGTGGCCAGGCCTTGCTGAGCTTTCTGTGTCTCTGTGAAACCGGAAGCAAGGCCATTGCTTGGAGTGCAAGAGGGAGGGAGTGATGGAGGTTTGAGGAGAGAGAAGAAAGCGAGAAGGACCGGACAGCAGAGCTATTTGGGGATTTTTCCTGGCTTCATTTTGCTGGGAAGGTGCAAGCCTAGGAAGGTGGGAGATCGGTTTGTGCCAGGGCTATTTTTGTTGGACAAAGCCACACAGGCAGAGGGGAACAGGAAGGTGCGTGTATGGCAGGGTTAAGAATGTCAGAAGGTTGGAGCCAAGCCAGGGAGAACAGAGTGAGGAGGGGTGCAGCCAGGGGAGGAGAGAGACCACATAGCAGGGCGGTCGGCGGGTGCCAGGAGCGCAGGACTCTTGGGATCAGCACCACAGGGAGGGAGCACAAGGAAAGGGGGTGATAGGTGGAGAGCCAGGTGATTTGACAGGGAGAGCTGGAAGGAGCACTGTTCAGGAAGGACAGGACCTCAGCAGCCCCTCAGTCTGTACTGTACATGTAATGCGTTTGAAAGGCCGACCTCGTTTCCAGGGGCCTGGGGTGGATTCTGCCATTTCTAGCAACCTAGGAAGCACGCTGATTACCCTAACGAGTGGCATGGTGCCAAAACCTTGATAAATGCAATGAAAAGAAGACAGAAAACTCATCTTGCTTTAAAACTTTAAACACAAGCAAAATATCAGCATGTTAACAGTAAAGTTCATCCAAGCACAATTTCTCTCCAGCATAATGGAAGCTATTAGAAAAACCAGCCAGTCCCTCAGAGGAGGGGACCTTGGGGTCTTGGGGGAGGCGCAGTCTGAGCTCAGGAAGGAACCCACTGACAATAGTTGTCACTCTGCTCCTCTCTGCTAACTGCAGAAGGCTGGAAAAGAGGCGCCTGGCCCCTTGACATTTGCGAGGGAGACTAGCTAGGTGGCAAGGGATATCTAATTTTGAAATGTTGTTCACTGAGGACTTTCCCGCCACAGCGGTTTGGTTTATTTTCTTGGCTTTTGGGTTAGATGAGAGTTCTTTTTAATTGTAGTCCCCACAAAGAGGCCTTGGCTGTGTTTGCCTTCAACAAAAACAAGTCGAGGCCCAACTTCCCAAGGACACAAAGGATTCACGGAGTGGACAGCCCCATACGCAGGGCTTTGACTCCTTTGCACTTAGGGTCAGGCGGCATTCTAGGTCATCCTCTTCCCTGTGATAAGCCCACCACTGCCGAGAATCATGGCCGCACGACAGCAGACCTTTCTGGAGCAGGGAGTCATAACAAATTCTGAAAGCAAACCGGAAGGAGCCACAGCACTTGACCACTTGAACTTACCATGGAGATCTCTTTCTACACCCTTCTGTTGAGTTCTCTGGAAAACCATTTCTATAAAAATATTTCTGCCTGCTGGAAACTTCCTCTGCTGCTTCATCTTGAAACCCTCTCAAAGAGTCCCTCTGTTCTCCTGGGCTGTCCCCATGGGGCACAGGGTGCACCCCCTCAAGTGGGTATGGCCCCGTTTAAATCTTCCACCATCCCTTCCCCCCTTCTCTTTGAGGCTGGGCCCTAAGATGAAGGCGCCTCCCTGCCTTAATAGGGTCACCTGTGAAAGGACTTTGGAGCCTGACTCACGGCTCCCCTCCCACCCCACCCAGTGCCTGACTTCGCTTGGGTGACCTAAGTGCTGCTCCTCCAATCTCCTGGGTCACAGTTCCCTTGTGTTCTCTGTCCCAGTGACCTTCACTTCCACCCCAGCCCAACAGCCACTGGGCCGGCCCCACCCGGACCCTGCAGTTACCGGAACTGCTCCTCCTCTGCAATTTGAACTCCACAGCTCCCCTGTGTACCTGCTCTTCTATCCGCCCCAGGCCGCACCCTCACACTCACCAAACCTGCTCCCAATCTCATCAGAACTTTGTTTATTCAACAAATACTTATTGGGAGCAAATAATTACTGAGCGCAGTGGGAATGAGACCTTGACCAATCCATGGTCCGGGTGAGCCTGGAGTCCAGCAAAGACGCACAGGTAATCAGGTAATTAGACAGGAGTGAGACGCGCAGAACAGGACTTAGTCAGTTGAGGTTAAATGTTTAAGGCAGAATTATGTAGGTAAAAGCATGGTGAATTTGAGGCCCCACTTGGGTTATAGAGCTTGGCATTGGGGGGATCGGGAACAGGCACAGTTGGAGAGATAAGCGAAGGTCTAAGCACAAAGTCATAGCATCCGGGGACTGGAGGGATGGCAAGGGGGAGATGGGTGCCGAAACTTTCAGGTATCGATGCCTCGCTCAGATGTGTGCTTTGGATTAGAAACACCACTCTGGTCCTGGTGTGTGCTGTGGATGACAGGAGGCCAGGTTCGAGGCAGCGAGCCCAGTAGGAGGTGATTTTCCTCCTGGCAAGGGACAATGGCGGCTCGAGCTAGGGTGGTGGCAATGGCATGGGGAAAAGGGGATCAGTGAAAGGACTTGATGGACGCACATGGTGAGAGAGAAGGAGGACTCAGAAGACAGCCAGGCTTCCGACGTGAACCCCTGGCTGTTTACTCAGATGGACCCCGGGGAGGAACCCTCAGCAGCCAGTGCTGTGAGAAGGTCAGGTGGTATGGAGCCTGCAGAGTGTCTGTTGGATGTGGCAACAGGAGGACTTTGGTGACCTTGGAGAGGACCGTCTCAGGCGACCGAAGAAGCAGCCCTGCAGCTGTGAATTTAGGGTGCGAGTGGGAGATGCGGGGATGGAGACAGTGAGGTGAGGTAGCACTTTCACGTCAGGAAACGGGGAGCACAGCTGGGGGAAGCTCTCACCAGAGGGGTCTGGAGGATGGCTGAGGCTTGAGGGTGTTTCAGTGCTGCTGGGAAGAGATAGTAAAGTAAATTGAATGCCAGGTGTGGTGGCGCACACCTACAATCCCAGCACTTGGGAGGCTGAGGCAGGAGGATCGCTGTGAGTTTGAGGCCAGCCTGGGCTACAAAGTGAGTTCAAGGCCAGCCTGCAAACTATGCAGGCTGCATAGTGAAACTCGGTCTCAATAAAAAAAAAAAAAAAAAAAAATTGAAGGAGGAGTGATCCCAGATGCCTATAGCTCCCTAAGGAAGGAGGAGGCTCCACAGAAGCACAGGAGAAGAGAGTCCCTCCTTTTTTAGGTAATAGCAGAGGAAGAAGAGAACAGAGGTCAAAGGAGAGGCCGACTGAAATAGAAATGTTCTCAGGAACTGAGTTCTTAGGATTTGTTTTGTTAAGTGAAAAAGTGAAATGAACAACCAGGCTGATTGTTCCAGAATGAGAGAGAAAATGCATAGGGCAAACTGAATGGATCTAGAAAGCTATAGAAGTCTATTTATTTATTTATTTATTTATTTTTGTCTTTTTGGGACAGGGTCTTGCTATGCAGTTCAGGCTGGGCTTAAACTCACTTTGTAGCCCAGGCTGGTCTCAAACTGATCAACGATCCTCCTGCCTCAACTTCCCAAGTACTAGGATTACAGGCGTGTGCCACCACACCCGGCTAAAAGGTTCTAGAGCAGATAATTTTGTTACACTCAAATCTGGCTAGGTTTTGCCATTTATAAGATTTATAATCTTATTTATAAGATCTTTTATAAAGAGATTTAATCTTAGATATGCTAGTGAGAAACTAGACTTTCATTTCTCTCTCTGTTAAAATGAG